CAATCACGTCCAATCATCGTAAAAATCATCAAATATTATTGGTTTTATTTAGCATATAAATTATTACCGTGTCGTGCGCTTTTGAATCGCAATAATCACATTTTTTTACTTGCTTCATGTATTTCTTAGTATGTGAAAGCATACAATGTATTCAAATAAAATCTATTATAATATATGACATATATATCACTGTACATTTCTTCGCGCAGTGATAACGTTCCCTATAATAGCATATTTTAAAGATATTAATAAGTATTATCATATAAATATAGAAAACAATTGATAATAATGATAATATATGATAAAACAAGAGATAACAAATAATTGTGTAATAAATTTCCACTACCGAAGGAATTATCATTTTTTTTTGCAGAAATGATGTAACATTTTTTTTTTTTTTTAATATTGTTACGTTTTGTATTTTTTTGTCATCGTATTATAAAAAAAAAAAAATTAATAAATATGTCCTAATAGAATTTGTTGAAAACAAATTTTTTCGTTCGTTTAATAAAACAATAATTATGAATACTGTATCTTTACATTTTACAAAAAGATAAAACAATTTGCTTGAAACATATCTGCCTCATACCATTTTAACAGCATTATTCGTTAAATAATAAACTGTGTATGTTTGTATATGTATATATAAATAAAATATCCATGTTTATAATATTACATATCTATTTAATATGCTCCCACCTGTAATCAATTTTTTTATTTCTTTCTAAATTAATAGAATAAAAATGTAGCTTTTTTTCAATTTTATTCAATATAGTTTTTAAAACACATAATGATAAATCAAAATTATAATTTTTAATTAATGTTATTAAAAGCTTACACATATATTATATACTATAATTTATATGAAAAAAGAGAAGAAGAAAAAAAAAAAACATGTATTATAAAAACATATAAGTGCTTATCAGATTAATTAATATTTTCATTTTTTTTTTTTTTTTTTGTTTTTTTTTCGTTTTATATACGATTTACAATTTCACATTCAGACACAAACACATTAATATGTTGGAATAAGTTTCATTTAAATCTTAAAATGTTGAGTTAAAATGTAGACTTATTAATTTCTTTTTGTACTGAAATATTTCTGATCAGGTCTTTATAACACGTAGTAGGTCTTATTATAACTTTAACATATTTTCATCTTGAAGACAGTTACATTCAGTGTGCGTAGGAACATTCTATTGCTATAAATCATATTATAATTCTATTGATAAATAAGTCATTATTTTTTATATTAGTAGCCTTAATTCGTTTACACATTATTAAATCTTATGTACAATAGGTCTACAGAAAACTGATTACAGAATACGCCCGTAGTATATTTTCTATTATATGTAATATTAATTTTAATATTATACAAGAGAGTTAAATATAAAAATTTCAATTGAATTATTTTATGAAAATAAAACTAATAAATCGCTCATGCGTGTGTGTGTATTTATGTATGTATGTATGTATCTATGCGTTAAAACAAATAATCTTTAATGAATAATAACAGAAGTACCTGGAAGCATTGTGTAATAATTCTGATTTAACATGATCTAGGGGGGAGGGGTCCCCTATTATATACATATTAATTTAAATTTATAATGAGAAAGTTTTTCTTGTAACGTCTAAACAGTAAATCATTAGACCAATGTTATGAATTTCTTACTATTTATTTTAATATAATTTTCGTTTATTAATAACAATGCAATATAAATATCCGTTGTATATTTTCTATACATTCATGTGTGTTATTCCATTGAATATTAAAAAATTATACAACGCCACATATTTATTTTTGTTGCATATTTGATCGTGAGTATTAATAAAAAATAGCGAAATTTTACATAAAATATACAAGAATTGTTTCAGATTAAAAATTTTATTTTCGATATATGTATACCGATATTGTTATATTGACTGGAATGCTTTTGAGGTACTGTTAAGAATCATGAACTAATGTTAAGACTATTTATAGAATTTAATACAATCATATATATATATATATATATATGATTGTATTAAATTCTATAAATAGTCTTAACATTAGTTCATGATTCTTAACAGTACCTCAAAAGCATTCCAGTCAATATAACAATATCGGTATACATATATCGAAAATAAAATTTTTAATCTGAAACAATTCTTGTATATTTTATGTAAAATTTCGCTATTTTTTATTAATACTCACGATCAAATATGCAACAAAAATAAATATGTGGCGTTGTATAATTTTTTAATATTCAATGGAATAACACACATGAATGTATAGAAAATATACAACGGATATTTATATTGCATTGTTATTAATAAACGAAAATTATATTAAAATAAATAGTAAGAAATTCATAACATTGGTCTAATGATTTACTGTTTAGACGTTACAAGAAAAACTTTCTCATTATAAATTTAAATTAATATGTATATAATAGGGGACCCCTCCCCCCTAGATCATGTTAAATCAGAATTATTACACAATGCTTCCAGGTACTTCTGTTATTATTCATTAAAGATTATTTGTTTTAACGCATAGATACATACATACATACATAAATACACACACACGCATGAGCGATTTATTAGTTTTATTTTCATAAAATAATTCAATTGAAATTTTTATATTTAACTCTCTTGTATAATATTAAAATTAATATTACATATAATAGAAAATATACTACGGGCGTATTCTGTAATCAGTTTTCTGTAGACCTATTGTACATAAGATTTAATAATGTGTAAACGAATTAAGGCTACTAATATAAAAAATAATGACTTATTTATCAATAGAATTATAATATGATTTATAGCAATAGAATGTTCCTACGCACACTGAATGTAACTGTCTTCAAGATGAAAATATGTTAAAGTTATAATAAGACCTACTACGTGTTATAAAGACCTGATCAGAAATATTTCAGTACAAAAAGAAATTAATAAGTCTACATTTTAACTCAACATTTTAAGATTTAAATGAAACTTATTCCAACATATTAATGTGTTTGTGTCTGAATGTGAAATTGTAAATCGTATATAAAACGAAAAAAAAACAAAAAAAAAAAAAAAAAATGAAAATATTAATTAATCTGATAAGCACTTATATGTTTTTATAATACATGTTTTTTTTTTTTCTTCTTCTCTTTTTTCATATAAATTATAGTATATAATATATGTGTAAGCTTTTAATAACATTAATTAAAAATTATAATTTTGATTTATCATTATGTGTTTTAAAAACTATATTGAATAAAATTGAAAAAAAGCTACATTTTTATTCTATTAATTTAGAAAGAAATAAAAAAATTGATTACAGGTGGGAGCATATTAAATAGATATGTAATATTATAAACATGGATATTTTATTTATATATACATATACAAACATACACAGTTTATTATTTAACGAATAATGCTGTTAAAATGGTATGAGGCAGATATGTTTCAAGCAAATTGTTTTATCTTTTTGTAAAATGTAAAGATACAGTATTCATAATTATTGTTTTATTAAACGAACGAAAAAATTTGTTTTCAACAAATTCTATTAGGACATATTTATTAATTTTTTTTTTTTTATAATACGATGACAAAAAAATACAAAACGTAACAATATTAAAAAAAAAAAAAAATGTTACATCATTTCTGCAAAAAAAAATGATAATTCCTTCGGTAGTGGAAATTTATTACACAATTATTTGTTATCTCTTGTTTTATCATATATTATCATTATTATCAATTGTTTTCTATATTTATATGATAATACTTATTAATATCTTTAAAATATGCTATTATAGGGAACGTTATCACTGCGCGAAGAAATGTACAGTGATATATATGTCATATATTATAATAGATTTTATTTGAATACATTGTATGCTTTCACATACTAAGAAATACATGAAGCAAGTAAAAAAATGTGATTATTGCGATTCAAAAGCGCACGACACGGTAATAATTTATATGCTAAATAAAACCAATAATATTTGATGATTTTTACGATGATTGGACGTGATTGAAATATTAAAATTACATAAAAAATCAAACGATGTATTTTGTTTTTTTTTTTCTTGTCTTGTTTTTGTTTCGAACATTCGCATCAATCAACTTATGCACCTATTTACTATGATCACAGTTACATTCATAATATTATATATATATATATAAGTTATTATATATGACCGTTGCGTTTTTATCATCATATTACTGTATATATGTACATTTTAGTTATAAATAGGTATATGTTCATTTAAATATATTGAGGTTTTAAAAGCTTATGACTAGCAGTACCTCTAATATTTTTTTTCTTTTTTTTTTTTATAGTCACGACCATAACCGTCAGGTATTATCTCATATAGTCATCATAAAGGAAAAAAAAGACATTTTTTTTTTTTTTTGATAGAAATAAAATTATATATCCTTTAATCTATTATAATGTAAAATTTTGCCTAATATTTTAAAAAATAACTTTTGTTAAATTTAGTTCCAAATATATTTCTGAAACGTTAAAATAAATATATATATATATATATATGACTTATAAATGACGGTCGTGCTTAATTGCATAAAAGCCAAAATAAGTGTGGGTAGCTATTATGCAATAAAAAAATTAGTTTTAATATGAACATATAATGATAATATATATATAATAATAGTATAATGATAAAACTAAGGGAGGTGTGGTATCAGGGGGATGATATGCAAACCCCAGTGAAGTTTAGATCGAAAATGGTGTGAGAGAAAAACAATAAAAAAAAAAAGCCGAGCGTATAAAGAATTAACAATGCCGACCGTCAATATATATATATATATATTGTAAATATGCGAAGAAGCTTTCTTCTCACTGGGGTCCCAGAAGGCTGCTGTGTTGCGTTGTTCGTCAATGATATTATGAGTGTTAAATATTATCTCACGAGTCTATACGAACGAAGCTTTAAACAATAGTGATTCTTTGCGAGCAACATCATCACTAAATAATAATTTCAAAAATCATTTTACTATGCCTTTTTCTTTAATTACACTGTACATACGAAACCGTTTAATTTATCTCTTTTTTCTTTCTTTCTTTCTTTCTTTCTTTCTTGCATTCCTTCAAAGCGAAGCACATCACTTTCACTTCTTAATCAACTTACTTAAGAATCTCTCATTAATATCAACAGACGGGCTAAGTCTGAATAGTATGCACACACATTCTTGGAACCAAACCTTTTCTATCACCTCTTTCACATAATAACCATTTATTATCAATTTCTAATATAACTTTCAATCTTTCACCTTCTGCAAATGAGAGATGCCCATTATTCGATGGTGCTCTATTTGTAAGTGTGCGAACGTCTCTGGAATCGAGATGGACGAAGCGTTATTTTACTAATCTAGGAAAAGAAAAAATATACAAAAGTAAGATAAAACTGAAAAATAACAAGCGATACGTAAATGATAAAAAAATAAATTGCAAATAAAATAAAATTATTATAAGTTGACGATACATTGATTATTAAAATAAGATCTTTATAGATATATTGTATTAATAAATTTGTGTGTGTGTGTGTGTGTGTGTATATGTATTTACTTTAACGAAAAATATTGCATTCTAATATAATAACGTGCTATATATATATATACTTTCGTCATAACATGCATCAAATTTAAATAGAAATGATAAACTATTATTCGTTTGTTTTTGAATTAAAATTTCATACAAATATAAACACCTATGCAAATTAATTCAATAATAAATGAAAACTTTCTAAATATAATAAGAGTAAAGTATAAAAAGAGACATTGCATGACAAAACATTAAATTAATATATAACATATACATAGATTAATTTCTAATAGATATATATAGATTAATTTCACCTACTTTAACGGTTGTTTCCTCGAAATATTATTTCGTGTTGCTGTATTTGGCCTTGGTAGAGAAGTGGAAGCAGCTCGCCTTTGAGGAGATACGAGATTCTTCTCTTTCGACATAACTCCATAAGATTTATAAGGTAAAGAGCTAGGTCGTGACAAATGAGTCCGCGATGTTCCAACTACGTCTTGATCAACACGACTGGTACGTCGTGTTTCTGGTATACCTTTCCCCCTTGTTTCTATTGGTTTCATTAATACTGTTTTGGTAGTTGACAATGCAACCGGTTTTTTCAAAGAAGGTATTCCAGTGATAGGAGACTTGACACTTTTTGCAGATCCTAATGTTACATTTGGCTGTTTAATTGGCGACGTTAAAAGTCGTGGTATTTTTGATTTTCCCAAATTCGCAGGTGTTCGCATAGGTGACAAGGGTGGTAACGTTGTCGGTGCACCTTGATTTTTTACAGTCTCTTCTTTACCAACCATCAATTCCCATTTTTCTTGTAATTTCCTAAACTTAGCTTCTCCTGTAATCGTATCTTCATCATCTATTTTAGAATCTGGAGTTAATACTTTAATAGGAATCGTTTGTTTTGCTGCACCTCTATTCAATGGAGAATGTTCAAGGCTATCGGTATAATCTTCGGAATCTTCCGATGCTAATTTTTCTAAACCATGCAATACTTTTGTTCCGATAGCATTGTTGAAACGTTTTTTAACAACACTTTCGTGATCAGTTTTATGTGTTATTCCAGATTTATCGTCATAATCATTATAAACAACGCAAGACCGTGGACGTATTTTTCTTGGACTTGATACAGTTCCACAATTATCCGTTTTTTCAAAATGATGATCCTTTTGATGCATATCAATATTCCTAAAATTTGTTCCCTGGAATAGGAATAATAAAATTGTTCATTACGAAAACAAAATAACAAATATAAAAAAAGAGATAAATATTTTATTTATACTTACATTTAAACTGTAATTGTTCATATTACCGAAACTATTATGCAATTGTCGATATTGGTATAAAAGATCAAGCTGAAATGGGCAAAATGCTAAAGGATGTAAAATATCTAATAAACTATCAACAACTTCTCGAATGTCAGTATTTCCTAATGCTCCGGTAAATAAACTATTACTGTTATAATGTTTTCGTAAAATCGATTCTCTTGTACATAAATATGCAAACCATGCATCCAAAGCTCGCAAACTAAAAAAGAAAAAGGAAAGATTACATAATACACATTTTTATTATTTTTCTTTAATGCATATAAAACATATGAGAGAATATAAATAAATAAGATATAAAACGGTAGAATTTTTTTTAAGAACATATTATAATTAATCTTAAAACTCACTTCAATAGACCAAATACAAATGCGTGAAATTTAAGCATTCCTTCGGTAATAATATCCTCGCCATTAATCTTTTGAACTAATTCATTCAATGTTTTTGTAAGTGGTCCTTGCTGAGCAGAAGCTTCAACAACTTGCCATACGCTGTTCGCTAGCGGACCAAAAGTAGATTGTAAATGTGGTTTTAAACCATCCGACATGATAGTATACAAAGCTGGGCACAGATTACTTAAACAAAGTTGTGCACATTCATTTTTATCGTTGTAATTTTGTCGGCCATTGGTAGGTTCAGCATTCCAATATATAAGTAATAAATCAACAGATTTGCTTACGGATAATATCATATCTGAAATAATATTTGAATATAATTAGATATATCGAAATTAAACAATTACGATTATTATTGGCATACTTCTTTTTTCTTCTAAATCCATTTTGTTCTCAGGATTTATTTCTTTATTTGTATCTTGAAAGCATTTATCTTTATTGTGCTCGTTCGTCGTAACGCTTATATTATTTGGCTGGAATTAAATAAAATATTATAAAATAATATAAAAAAAATCAAATATATAAATAATTACCTTTTCATTTGAATATCGTTTTCTTTCGTGTAAAGCAAAGCTAACGGTTTTTTTCTGCGATTCGGCCATATCAATATTTTTAACTACATCTTTGTTCATTCTAAGTGCTAAAAATTTTCTCACGTATGATCTCAATTTAACTTCGGGATCTTCATTGTCTCCTTCGCTACTTTCTGACGATAAACCACTACGTTTTAAAAATTCTTCTAATTGTTTTACATCATCCTCACTATTTTGAGAAATTTCATAATCTACATTTGTATTATTAATAGCTTCGTTCAGTCTCTCTAAAATCAAATTAACGTTTTATTTAAAATTTCAATAATTTTTAATTACTTTTTATCAACACATTCAAAAAGAAAAAAATACAGTAAAATAAATTTACCTTTACCTGTATTACATTTCTCCTCTGTTTCATCAACGTCTTTTTCCGAATCGATAATTCTCCCACGGCATAATAATTGCAAATCATTATTCATATAATACGGTTCTTGTAACGACATTCTTTTATTTGGTTCAGAACATTGATCTTCTACCTCTTCCACTCCTCCCATTTCAAACATACTGTATCTTTTACTTGTTGGTACTCTATTCTTTCTTAAGATACTTCTTGGTAAGGGAGGTCTTGGTGGTACTTTGCCATTGCAGCAATCAGCCTCTTTATCTCCATAAGGTAATGAAATGGACCGTTTAGGTAAATTAGGATAGACTTGTTTTGCTTGATTAACAGCCCTATGCATTTTTTTATCATTGCTCACTAAACTAGCTTCAGAACTAATGCTATCATAGCGATATAAGTATAATGGATTAGCTATATTATTAGAAAGTAGTTGCTGGTTTGTAGAGGAATCCGTTAAAATTGTAGATGAGCCTCGATACCCGGAAGATGGTTGTGTAGCAGTACTACTTGTTGAAGAAGTATTATTTGGTATAAGTTCACTTATCGGTCTTGTTTTATGTCGCACCGGAGGAGACAAACAAAACAATGGTTTCTTAGTTTGTTCATTGATATTGATATGCTCTGAAACTTCTGGCACATCGTGTAATATTTTTTTATATTCAGTAGGTAAAAGGAATGTTAACGACTCCCAATCCTTAACATGTGAAAAACCACGTTGTTTAAGTGCATCAATATCATTACAAGAGAATGGTCGGCTACATCTGTTTGAATGTTTCCAACCCGGTTTACTTTTGTCATAACATTGAGGCTTTAATGCAACGTTGTCCAATTTCGTATCTTTAATATTAAGAAATGAAAGATCTGGTAATGTATAATTAGGATATACAACATAAACAGGCCTTTTATTAACTATCGTTTCCCGTATAGAAGGGCTATCTTTTTCTGCAGGTACTTTGTAAATTATTGACGTTTGAACTTCGTTATCCTCTGTTTCAACCATTGCTTGAATTCCTGTTGTTTTAACTATCGTAGATTTATTTTCTGCTTGTAAAACTCGTAAATTTTTAGCACGGCTTTCCAAGTCATCCTGTGAAATTTCAAAATCTATTTGTTCTATATCACTGTCATGTACAAGTTCTGATTTAATTATGCTTTCCGACAATTCTTCGACCGAGGCAGATGAAATCATGTCATCCTTATTTTCCTTATTGCTTGGAAAATTGTTTGGAATGTCAGCAAATTTATCTTTTTGACTTTCTATTTCTTTGTTCGTATAACAATCGCTACGAACCCAATTTATAGAAAAATCTTTTTCAGGAAGCGGACGAGTACACGTATTATTTATATTTTGTCGCTGTATTTGTGTATTTGTATTTGTATTTGTATTTGTATTCGTAGTTGCACTATCACTAGCACTATTACTTGTAGGCCAACCATTATCACTTATAGAGTCAGATTGATCTAAAGTAAGACTCATTCCTTCGGCGCTCATACTTTTTTGTTTCATAAATAATTTTACTAGGCTTAGGTTTTGTAACTTTTTTCCAGAAGAAGTATTTCCACTACCATCGGAATTTTCTTCATTTACAGACCGACTCATTGCGGATCCTGAATTGTGTGATTGTAACGGATGGTTATTCGATTCGGCAGAATCGACCTGTAAAATAGTATATAATAATATAATTAAAAAAATAATTTAATCTGATTTAAATAACAATGTATATATATATATATATAAAAAAAAAAAGAATTATCTTCGTATTATTTACAGAAGAATTTAAATGAATATTAGCAGGTGATTCTTGAATTCGTGAAAGATCTGGTAGGCTTTGGCTTCTTTTATTTATAGATATAGTTGTGTTCCCTGTTCCATGTAAAAAGTTTGGAATAGTATTGTTATTACCCGATGGATGTCGAGTAATAACTTTATTCATGGAAGAATGTTTCAAATTACTCCAAGTAGTGTATATTTTAGAATCAGAACACACCATTGACGAATCTAATATATGTCTTCGTAAGCCCTTTTTTTTATAATAAGTTTCTGGTACCTCATACGTTTCTGGTTTTTCTGAAAAAAGCAATTTAATATTATCTTTTAATGTGAATGATTCATAAACTTTTAAAATCTCAGTATTATTGACGCCCTCTAGTGGATTAATTTTATTAAAAGTATATTTTGAAAGCACGTAATATATTTTAGATAATAAAATAAGTTGAAAAACGTAAGTGCGAACATCGAAAACTACCTACTACGTGCAATGTATTACTGCACTAACGAAAGGGTTAATATATAAATATTATTAATTTACCTTGATGTTCAAAATCTGGAGAACTATCAGAATACATTGTAATACTGGCTTCGAAAGCAATAGTATAATTATTTTTATTATTTGCTTGACAAGTTAACAGCATGTCTTCACAGTCCAATGAATCTACACTGTAACTACCTGCCGGCGGTAGCACAGGTGTTTCTTTTACAGGAGAGAATAGTAACGATGATTTACATATAGACATTGTATCGGTTGTTGAACAGGCAGATTCTTCTCCCTTTAAATAAAAATTACAAATAATTAAGAGATATGTGCATACAAATTATCTTGAATTTTTCTTGATATTCAATAAATTACTTTCATGCAATAAGTTCATTATCAAGATTATACTACTGTTACATATAATATATATGTATATATATATTATTTTTATTTGTTACTATCGTTTCATTCAACAGTTAACATTATTATATAATACAATGCATTACAAGTTAGAATATACATAAATCTGTCCTATATATTTTTCATGGGTTATAAATGGTATTGTAAATAATTGTTTCTAATAAAGTTTGAGAGAATTAATGGAAGTTGCACAGGTATCATCATACCTGGCTGCTGGTGTGAGGGCTGATTGAAGAACCAATGTCAAGTTTTTCCATGACGGAGCCAGATATACTGGCATAACGTTCCCTTTGATAGTTAAACTGTCATAATAATGGAAGATATTTAACATTTGATGTATACTAATTTTACTAGTTGATCAATGTATTGCGCATACTTTATGCACGTTACATTTATATTGTAATTTTTTGTAAATACTTTATCTGATGTTTCTGTTTGTTTAAGTATATTATATTAACTAAATGAACAAACGTATATTTAAGGAATATAAAAATTTGGTATATATAATAGTAAGAAATAATTATTGAAAATTGTTAATAATATATAAAATGTTGGATCATTAAAAACAATTTGTACTAAAAATCCTTTGAAATGCATGGTATTAATGATAAATAATAGAAATTCAAAATTAAGTATATATCAGATGTAATAATAACATAATAAAACTGATAAAGATTAAAATAAGTATGTGCAGTGTGTGCATATGTGAGATATTAATTAAATATTATAATAGTTATATTTATATATTAAATATATCAACCTCTGAATGTTGAACTGGATCAGTGCACATAACTGGTAATGCGGTAAGAAGAGTGTGGATGTCGGCACTACGAAAACTTTCCATATCAATTTCTGCTAAATTAGCATCCAAATTACGCGATAGGTCATCATAATAACCCACATCTTCCCGAGTATATGATGCAGAGAGTGATGATAGAACACTTGGGTGGACATGTAATCCTCCGTCTCTGTATCTAAAAAAAAAAAAGATTCAAAGTCAAAATGCCTTTTTAGATAATCGATATCAATAACAATATTTCATTTATTTATACAGGATGTCCTGTAACCGATGGTACACGTGAGTTGGAGGATGATTTTACATGAAAAACTAAATTCAAAATGTACAATCAATTACTAGGGTGTTACAAGTTTAGTCAAAAACACGTGTACTTAATAAAATCTTCAAAATTATGTAGAATCATCCTTAATTCTCTGGTATGATCAGCAAGAGGACACCATTCTGTATATACACCATAATCTTCTTACCCATAATCGGTACACCATTGATATTCCACATTGTCTTGTATAAAGTCAGAACCGATAAGATCCTGTTGCATAGAATCTGTTGCAGGATTGGAATTGCAATCCGATCCTGGTGTCTGTGGATCTTCCATGACTGCAGCTCCTTTGCCTGCACCTAAAACAATTTATAAATATTATAGTTATATTTTTCTTATATCTATGTGAGATAATTAAATCCCTTGTAATACTCATATATTGTTACATTATATAACTATATACATATATATTATATACTATATTAATATTATATTATATTATATAATATCATATTATTATATAATTATTTATATTAAAATGCTTTATAATTTTGTTTATCTAATTGTTGATACATACAAATAATGCATTGTTTCATTTAAATTAGTATTATTTCCATTATTGATTTTTGAATAATAAGTTGTGAATTTGTTTACAGTAATATTTACTCCACGTGATCTTAATAGTACTAGAAAAAAATTCCCCAAAAAAAAGGGGGATGCAATAATAAAGATTGTAGTTCGTTTTCAAAATTAATTGCAATTACGAGTTAATTGTGTAACGTGATAATTCGAAGAATGCGTGCACATACATATAAGGTAAGCACAAAACGTTATAAACTTTTAATTCGTATCAATCGTCATCGCGAAAGAATGTTCGAGATAAAAAAGGGAACTTAATTCTCTACTTAATCTTGATTAACAAAGATGATTAAAATAAAGCGTTTAACGTTGCTTAATAAAAACAATTAATACAAATAACGTAGTAGTAATCAAATGAAATAATTAATTCGAAATTGACATAGGAACCAAATAAATTTCATTTCTACAAATTAAAATAGATATGTCTAATAGATACATATATATATTCAGATTTGTTTACAATAAAATAGATTACTTTCTCAATGATCATATTATTTTCGAGAAATTCCGTGTAATATTATCGTTATTATTCTTAAAAGAATTGCGTTAGGGTGATTATTATCTAGTCACATTTGTTACGTACTGATCGAATCCGATCTGTCATTGGTGCATCAAATACTAACACAATTTTAATAGGTATATTTTATTGGTGTTGTGTTGTTGCTTTTAAGTGGTTAAGAAGAACGTTAATTATTCGTAGAAATAAATAAGGAACTCACCATGAAGATGTGTTTAATTTAATAACATGTTTGGAAAAGAAAGAAGAAGAAAAAAGAAAAAATAAGAAAAAAGAAGAAATCTTGACAAATGTTTTTTTATATATATATAAAAAAAAAAAGAAAACAAAAATGTTTTTCTTTCGCAATAATACACTTCTTTCTGCGTTAACAACGATCGGATTACAATGCGTCGATTCTCCTTACATGGTTATCGTTCGATCGATTTCTCGTACGCTTAACGACAAAGATGAACGACATATCTTTTTAAGGTCACGATCGGAATGATCACACTCCTTTCCTGCTCCGATTCTACAATACCAACGACGAAACACTGATAAGAAGAACGTCTCTTATTTTTCTCCTCCTTCCCGCCATCACAGTATTCCGTTGCGATAATATGGGTATGGCAGTACCTGACGTCACCACGTGCTTCGCCAATCATCGGGCAGAACGAATAAATGAACGTTTCGCGCGCCAATTTTAAAAATATTTGAATTCGAATGTTGTTTTTTTTGTTATTTTCCAACGAGAGCCAGTACTTTTAACATTTAACGCATTGGAAAAAAACGTATACGTAAAGTACTCCTCGTAATGTTACTTTTTTTTATGTAATTTTTTTAATTTACGTATTTTTTGTTATAAAATTTTGTTTTTTAAATAATAGAGTAGAGAACACGCGAAGAGACGTTTATTATAACGCGTTTACGCGTGGGAAATGTGAAATTTTCGTTTAACAAAATAGAAACTTTCCGTATGTGTTATATTATTTTGTATTCATTGTATATAAATATTTGTCACAATGTATTTGTCATGGCTTAGTAAGAACTTAAAGAAGTCAAAATATGCGCCATTCGTAAGCCGGAAATATCAATCCTTATTTGTGACATCAACTCTCTCAAGCAGTTAACTATCTTTAGCTATCCTACGTATTCCGATCTAATAATTAATAATCAATAATTATAATTTTATTCTATATCATATATATAAATATAATTAATTTTTATATAATTAAATAATAAACAAATAATGTAATTTCATTATTTCTATCAATGAAATTTTAATAAGTAACAATAGATATAATATAATGTTTCAAATATTACCATCACGATGATTAAATTATTTAATAAACAATAAAAAACAAAGAAAAAAAGTAATATTTAACATAGCATAATTTGCACGATATTTATGGACAACACAAATTAATTATTAATATTCTTTGATTGGAGAGAACAAAATTTAGAAGATAATAAATAAAATAATTTCGGGTGGGGGGGGGGAGGTTTTCTAGAGGACAAATAATAATACCTGAAGGAATTGTAATCCATATCATGCCGTGGCCGCGGCTATTTAGTTTTGCGTCTAGTATTTACACGCGATAAATGCTAACCGAAAACACCCATTTTCTTTGACCATATGGTGACGAGCTGCCTGTCACTTACACACTACTGTTAGAAAATTCATTTAAACTGCGCCTATGGTGGAGCATGATCGCTCATGCGGCGCATGTGCGTTGTAGAATTGAATGTAAAGGGTGAGCAAATGGAAGTCGGATACAATCGAATGTATATATATATATACATACATACATATATACATATATATTTATGTATGTTGTTCTCTCGGCTTTAAAGACTTAAGTGGTTTCGCTCGATCGAAGCTTTGATTCTTTATCCAATGATCAGAGAACGTCATTATTACGCATGAATCCTATATGCACATTCGTTTCACATAGATATCATCGTATTTTATTTTTATCTCTTATAGATAATAATTTATTAACTATGACAAGACAAATAACTAGAACGCTTATTTGTTTTAAATACATTTTTATCTCTCACACGCGTGTCAGGATTTTTGTAAAAAAAATTTTCTAACTTCGTCTTGTTGTTATTCCTTCAATTTTTTAAACAAACGATCATTGATTCATCAATTTTCTAATATTATCCGAAAATTATTTATTGTTTTTTATTTTATAATTTTGTTATACAATTATTCCCTATACGTAATTGGAATATCTTGAAATATTTTCATTTATAATTTGTACGATATTTAACGTCATATTTATAACACGAATGAGAAATGAATAATATGTATAATTAGCATAATATGACTAAGTATCTCAGATGTTTTTACACTTTGCGGTAAAGTGTGTGGGATACACTTGTTATTTATTATTCAATTGATCCATACAAAAGGTAAAACGGTATCATCTCGGTGATTAATTTCATCGTTTTAATAACAAATTAAATATGTTTTTCGAACGATCGTATTATGGGAGGAGAAGGGAGGGAGGAACCTTGGCCTTTTTTTTTTTCTTTCCTTGTTCTTTTTTTCTTTTCATTATTCAGCATGTGATGTATTGTAGTTCGAATAATACGACCTACGCTTTTGGCGCGTTGGCACGTGCTAAGAATATTAATTCGAATCGATTAAAATACACATCATCATGCAATTCAATTATATTTTTATGATTAATTTTACGACGCAATGATAAAATATGTTTTTTGTAAGTATAGTTAAAACAAAGTACAAAATAAAATAGTAACTTAAATTTCCTCGTGAACAGTGGTGTCGAGGCGGGGTAGGTGGGTGGGGTGTGGGGGGTTGTAAGGATAATTTTAGCGTCAAGCAAAATGTCGGAAATAAGTTGCCGAGAGCAGCCAAATTTCAACGACTCGTTGCAAAATAAAATTAAATGCAACGTTGAAACACGATACAAGAATTTAACATTAATTTAATCAAACATAGTTTTTAATTTGTACTCAATATTAATATTATTCTATTAAGAAAAAATATAAATACGGTTATTGATTTTTTTTATTATATAAATAAAGATGGAAAAAAAAAAGTAGAAGAAGAAGAAGAAGCAGCAGCATTCTTTTGACCGTCCTTCGAAAAAATCTAAGGGGTGATTTTTTTTTTTTTAAAGGGGAAAAACATTCTTCTTCTTTTTTTTCTTTTTCTTTTTTTTTTTTTTCGAATGCAAGACGAAAAATAGTAATAACTCTCTATTAATAGAAAAAGAAACCATATGTGAGAGAAGCTCGTTATATATACAAGGTCCTATCATATCTACACACACACACACACAAAGAAAAAAAAACGAAAGAGAGAAAGAGAGAAAGTGAGAAACGCATATATGTGTGTGTGTGTGCATGTGGAGGTATTTGAACTGTTGAAAAAAGATCAGCTAGAATTTCCCCATATGTTTTCTCTCTTTCTCTCTCTTTGGGTATTTGAGGAGATTACAGAGAGACAGTTATACTTTAAATCATTTGAAGATGAGCTAGCGTTGAAATGGTTTGATTCCAACCCCTATTCGAGATTATACAAATACAAATATTTATTTTATAAATATTATTTTGTGTTAGTAGTCGTGTGTGACGATCGTCTAGACATTTTATTTAAATGGATATATGTTAATCTTAGATATAAATATACAATTTGTAAAAATTACTAATTTTTAAAGAAGAATCCTGACGAAAAAAAAAAAGTTATGCATATGATTTGTTTGATCGAATTGAAATATATTCAAAAGAAAAAATATTTCTTCTTTTGGCACGTGCAAAGAAAACAAATTTTTGTGTATATAACATTTTTAAATATTAAATTTCAAATACAATATATTTATATATATATTTATTCTTACGTTTAAATGAAGAAATAGAATAAGTATGATTCACTTTTGATCGTACGAAATATTCAAAAGAAAAAGTATTTCTTCTTTTGGTACGTGTAAAGAGAACAAATTTTTGTGTATGCAACATATTTGTTAAATATTAAATTTCAAATACAGTATAAATATATATATATATATTTGTTCTTACGTTTAAATGAAGAAATAGAATAAGTATGATTCACTTTTGATCGTACGAAATATTCGAAAGAAAAAGTATTTCTTCTTTTGGCACGTGTAAAGAGAACAAATTTTTGTGTATGCAACATATTTGTTAAATATTAAATTTCAAATACAATATATATTTGTTCTTACGTGTAAATGAAGAAATAGAATAAGTATGATTCACTTTTGATCATACGAAATATATATATTTAAAAGAAAAAGTATTTTCTTCTATGGGGTCACGAGTAAGAAAATAAATTCTATATCTAATATATTTGAATAAGAAATTAATAACAAATTTGTTAACACTAAACCTACCAAATATTTTTATCGTAATTGGTCAAACGAGATCCTCTTTAAAAAACAAAAAATCACATATATATTATTTTAAAATAAGATTTTAGCCAATTGAATAGTAAATAATATATTTTCTTAATATTTATAAACGAATAATGTGTATATATATATGTGTGTATACTTTTATACGTTTTTCTGTTACCCTTATTATTTTAAAAATTACAGAACACGTGTTCATTCGATCTCACGTACGTGTGGTAGATTTAATATTAATTAATGAAAAATATGAAAAAATCTATTTGTTCTTACATTGTCTTTGAAGAAAATACATGCATTTATCGCATGGTATTCGATAATAATTCCAATCTTGTCGTAAACGAGAAGACTTGGAAGATGGTGATTGTTCATGTTGCTGTTGCTGTTGCTGTTGTTGTTGCTGTTGTAACAATTGTAAAGGTGGTGGTTTTTTTCTTTGTCGTTGTTTTTGTCGGGATGGTTGTAATGTTGGACTCGTACGACCAGCAGAAAATTCTGCTATCTTCATGATGACGCACAACAAAAGCACTATCATCATTTGTTAATCTTTGCGGTTTTAGTTGTTCGTTCGTTCGTTCGTTCGTTTTAATGCTGCTTTTACAGCATAGCAGCACGACACTTTTCTTCTCACTAAAGTGTATATAATATCACATCACATCGGATTACACACACCCACCCACCCACACCCATCCACACAAACACACATAGAAGATACTCGTTAAAGTTACTTACTCCCTTTTTCTTTTATGTTTTTTTTTTCAAACCACCACTCGCTAAATTCACGTACATCAAAGTGTACCACCACCAACCCCAAAAAGCGTATTTTCAAATATATCCGTTTTTTTTTTTTTTATGTATGTATATTCGGTACTTTTGTCTCTATATCATATTTTTATTTTGTAGTTCTTCTCTTTGACTTTTTACATTTTGTTCACGACACAAGACGAAATGTACGAGTTCAAAAGCACAATTCTTTTAACATTATTACACTTTATATTCTTCTACACTTTTCTTTTTTTTTGTTTTAGTTTTTAACACTACTGTCCTTTCTATTTAATGGAATAGAATGAAAAAAAAAAGAAAGAAAGAAAAAAAAGGATGTTAAATTAAATCGTAGTAGTTATTCTATTCTCGTTGGTCTCTGTATAATAATAAAATTGTTGGTTGTATTATTTATATACGGTATATATATATATATATGATTGATAAATTATTGATTTATTAATCAAATCTTTTAGGCTTGCTTTCTCGTTCGATTATACTTATTGTTTAATTGTCTGTTGTGGGTTTGTCTATCGCGTGGGATTAAATACTAAACCTTGTGTTTTACGAAAACTATTTCCTGTTGAAGACAATTGAAATTATTTTGAAATCTTTCCGCTTTTTTTTTTTTATTTTGTTTCATTACCAGTGTGAATAATATTTTTTTTATTGACTAACGTGAGTAAATAATAAACAAATCATCGATATTCTATTGCACATTCTTATTATTATTATTATTATTAGTATTATTATTTTTAATCTACAGTATTTAAATATTAAACAATTTTTTAATATAAAATTGTAATAAATAATTGTCACGATTCGTTGAATTTAATATGTCTAATGTTTAATGTATATTAGTCATTTATTTATTTAAAAAAACATGAATAATTTTACGATAGAACGTTGTTATTAATAATTCACGTAATTCTTTGTTAGATAATAGTTAAATGTATATGCAATATGGAACGTGACCTTCATTGTCAATAACGATATGATTTATGATACGTCGTAGAACTGTTCTCTTATCTGTGTTACATCGTTTTAAATAATTTTTAGAAAAAAAAAAAAAAAAAAAAAAACAAAAAAGCTACATAAGAAAAAACAATTAAAGAAAACACAATTGATATTATAATAATTATAAAAAAAAAAAATTTATATATATAATTACGAGAAAGAGCAAAAATTAATAATTATTAATGGAATGAAAAGAAGAAAAAAAAAACTATGATTGAATTGAAATATTATTTTTTTTTTTTATCTGTATGAATAAGCTTCGACGAAAATAATCGTGATGATAAGGTGAAACGTAATGATATCGTATCGTTCAAAAATTTTACTCCTTATAATCGTAAATTGAATTGAATGACATTTTTTTTTTTATGCGAATATTGATTATTATTTACGATTTAAAAAAAAAATAAAAATAGTCATAATAATAATAATAATAATAATAATATTAAATAAGAATGCAATAATATTTTCGTATAAGTGTATCCATTTTGGAAATTGGTTATACATATATGTATTATAGTAATTGTCAAGTATAGTTATTGCTACGGTCGATACGTTTAAACGTTTAAATTACAACAAGTGGTCAGACAATTGTTTCGAGTTAATCGAACGTTCGAGTATAATAACAAGAGAGAGGGGTTTCTACGTAACTATAGATCGTATTAAATTTGTATTTTATTTTTTACGACAAATTAATTTAATATATTGTTAAAACATCAAACAAATTTTTATTAATCATTTACCCGTATATAGAATACAAAAAATATTTTCTATTCAGTTTTTTCTTTTTATTAACTTAAAAAGAAAAAATATTTTCTTGTTTTTGTTTTTCAGGAGGAAAATTTTAATAATTATTAATTGTTATTCTATCAATGTTTAATTAATTCCATATAAAAGATAAAATATTTATTTATTTATTAGGGTAGAACACCGATGAAAAAATAATTCGGTTTAATCGAAAAAAAAAAAAAAGAAATGTCTCTTTATAATGTTTCTTCAATTTTTTAAATTCACATTATTTTCAATTCCAACTCTCTCTCTCTCTCTCTCTTTCTGTAATTAATAATTTCTATAATTAAGTTAAAAAGGTCAAGAATTAATTTCGATATTTCATGAATCACGAATTAATTTCACAATAACAACTTCATTGTGTTAAAAAAAAAAAAAAAAAGATAAAATATAGACGAAGAGCATCGAAATGATTTTCACCATATAATAATGGATGAAAATTTCAATGGCCTAGAATTTTAGATTGTGATAAAAAAACAAAAACACGAAGAAATAACACATCTGGTAAACCTAAAAATTCCAGAATTCCTCCCCCGTTCCCCTCCCCAGACTATGAATCTCAAAGAAAACTGTTTCCACGGAACGTTTATCGAACTTCTGTAAAAAAAAAAAAGCCGATTTATGGGGTTTTTTTCCAGACTAGGAGAATACCGAACGATTTGATTTTAAACGACGTTTTCCTCGTCCATTAAACAAAATTCTTCTATCCGTTTTTTTAATGTGTGGGTGTAACCGGCGTATCCGTCACACTGCAGTAAGTCGTCTTTGTTTTATGCACTAAACCTGCACTAAACGAGCACTAAACGAGCACTAAAAATGCACTAACATGCACGTATTAATACACACCAACGACGAGGAAACTGACGCATAGATTTTACACGCAGCTAGCAAACACCCAAACGGGTATTTAAACATATGTATATATATAACAAAAAAAAAGAATACACACAAACACAAACACGTATACACAGTTTTATACGGAAGTAACAAGTATATAATTAAAAATGTATATACGAAAAGCTTCCACACACACAGAACAATATATTATTATTATTATTTATAAATCCATAGGACTAAATTGTTTACACCAATGATATAAATAAGATATCACAAGATATGCAATATTAATAAAAAAAAACACACTTTTTATTAAACAATTATTCTTATGAAATATAAATATGAAATGTTATTCGATTAAAGTTTCAAGTAATTCACTTTGAATGCATACGTGCATTACTTAAAGGGATTCCCTTATTTGTTGTTATTAAACAGAGAGGAAATTACACTTCTCATTCTCTCTCTCTCTTTCTCTTTTTCAGTACACTAGCGTTTCCTCAAACTTTCTTTCTTTATTTCTTTTATTTCTTTTATTTCTCTTTCTCTTTAGGCACAAGTTTCGTGTGTTATTTCGGTGAAAATCGTCTTCTGGACCCAGGGGTCTGACTCAGACTGCCCTAATGGCGTTTGTCCTGCGCGGGAGAGTTCTTGCACACGGCACGACACGACGCGGAGGTTTAATCTCTATTAATAAATACTTGGGTTTGTCTGCTACAGCTACTGCTGCTGCTACTGCTACTGCTGCTGCTGCTGGTTGCTGGTCCCTATAGCCGGAATAGTGTGACACAGAACAAGACTCTAACTGAGAAAGATAGATAAAAGAGTCATAGAGAGAGAGAGAGAGAGAGATAGGGGGGGGGATTAATCTGTAAAACTTAAATGCATTTAGAGTTGTACTATTAAGGATTCAATTATTTGTTAATACTGTGAAAGATCTTGAAATTGAATATAAACAAAGAGTATATATACAAATTTCATCCAATTGTTAAAAAGTTTGATTCATATGGGGGTACGTTTGGGTATRTAAATTCGAAATATTATATAATAAATTCAAATTATTTCTGTCTTTCATTGAAGTATTTGAWASGTGTTGATATATCAACACATACACACTATGTGAATTGTCAAAAAGTTTGATTCATATAGGGTACGTTTGAGTGTGTAAATTCGAAATATTATATAATGTATAAAAATAAATTCAAATTATTTCTATCTTTCATTGAAGTATTTGATACGTGTTGATATATTCATTATGTGAATTGTTAAAAAGTTTGATTCATTTGGGGTACGTTTGAGCATGTAAATTCGAAATATTATATAATAAATTCAAATTATTTCTATCTTTCAACGAAATATTTGATACGTGTTGACATATCCATTATGTGAATCTTAACATTATTACATTGTTTAATTAATAATTATCATGACCAATCTGTTTTGTGTATTGTAATATAGTAATATTTATTGATAATCAAATAAGATTCAACAGAAGGGTTAACTGTGAGTACGTAGGTATAATAAAAAGTAGGTAATTAGGGGAAAAGGTAACTCTCCTTAATTTAAAGAGGATGCGTAGAACCAATTGCATTTAGAGTATACTATCGACTATCCAATCATTTTAGAATATCTTACAGTGAAAAACCGAAATTGGATAATATCAAGATTCACATAATTGTTTAATGTACAGACGAATTATTAATGTATAAAAATAAACTTTTAATATATTTAATCTTTCATTGACATTTCAGCACATGAATCTTGACATTATCCAATATAATTAATACACCATAACCACTTGTTTTATCAATTTACATTATACAAGCTTATATATATATAAAGCTTTGTTATAATGTAAATGTTATATTGTAAATAAAAAATGTTATATTGTAAAATAGTAATATTAATGTATTAATTTCATGTATTAATTCATGTACAATTCACGTGAGAATCAAGTAAGATTGAACGAGAAAGGGTACTGTGAATACGCAGGCATAGTAAGAAGTGGGGGATAAGGTACTCCACTCGTCCCTTTAAAGAGGGATGAACATGCTAGGGGAGAATCATAGTACAAGCCCTTTTATTTTCCTTCTTTTTTTTTGGGGGAGGGTAGCGTTAGTCACGCGGATATAACGATGACGTAGTTCTTAATGGAAATCGAAAGTCGACGTTACTGTTTGGATACTGCAATGCTGTAAATTGTACAACTTTGCTATTTCTTCGAAAAGTTTTGGTAAATATTTTTTATACTAGAAGTGTATAGATTTTCATAATTTTTATATTAAATTAAAGTACACTCTTTTGCCTACGCGTAGAATACTTTGCCGAGTTATAAATTTATCTGCAAAGGTTCATAAAATGTCAGAGAATGCAATGCCGTAAATTGTGCATTTTTGCAATTTCTTTGAAAAGTTTTGCTTTATATTTTTCATACTAAAAGTGAATAGATTTTTATGAAACTTATATTAAATTAAAGTACATTCTTTTATCTACAAGTTGAATACAAATTTGAGTTATAAATCAATCTGCAAAGGTACATAAAATGGCAAAGAATGCGAGGCTGCAAATTTCTTTTATTTTGATTTTTTTTTAATTTTTAATATTGTGATCACGATCCTAAACGAGATCGAGATTAATGGCGGTGTGTCTCAAATAAAAGTCCTATATGATATTATTAATTTTGTTTACTCATCATATCGAATCCAATGCGCAAATTAAAATATTCTATTAAACGTTGTAAATAATTCAATGAATTATATCTCTCGTCCAAGAATAAAATTATTAATAAATATGTTTATAACAGGAATATTGCTACAGTATAAAGAATTAGAACTTTATTTTGATCAAATTGAACGTTTCGTCCCTTTATTGGGACTTCTTTAACAATTAAAAATTTATTTATTTATTTTGTAAATAATAATGCACATAGTGTGCGTGATATTTGTATGTTTACAGAAATCGTTTGAAGCATAATATGTAAATGCAAATGCAGATTCGCGAGTTGTTATATAAGTGTACAACGACCTTAACACTTATTGATTTTCACCATACAGGTTCTTTGCTATACACACACTAGCCGAGGACAAAACTAGTTCGTTAACTAAAGAAACGATGAGAGATTTCTTCTTTTTCTTTTTTTTTTTTTCTTAGTTCATTTATTAAGTTTCATTTTTTATACTTTTCGTCTCGCGTCAAAAATGGAAACATCCCCCCACCCTGCCAAAAAGAAAAAAAAACGTAGGAATATATAAATTTATTTTATTACAATAGATTAAAAATAATATTACGCTTATAAATATATATATACGAGAAATAATAATTAATAAAATTATTTAAAATAAATATGGAAAAAAATGTGCGTGTTTATTTCTATATATGAGAAACAAAAAGGATACTTATAGTTATATTATCGCGAATGAATTGTGTGTCGCGTTTATCGATTCGATTTACGATAATAACTTGGGGAAAAAAAAAATTAAAAAAATAAATAAATAAATAGAAAAATAATGTTCCCAATTGTAAAAGTAATCAATCGTACGAATGCATTCTGGCCATTGTAATGACCCTGTTTAGAATAAGAAGAATACCGTCGATGGATAAAGATATATTTGTATGTATCGATTTCCAATACTGTTGCACCTATATTAAGGGAGAAAGAACCATCGTTACGAATAGGAATGATTAAAACTTCGTTTGATTTCTTGTTGTTTGCTTTTTATTTCTTTTTTTTTTATATGGACTCGCGTCGGAAATATATAACAATCATTCATATATATATGTATATATATACGTTTCTTACCATAGAATAATATTTGAATAATTTAATAAGAATAATATTATTTTGTGTACACACACACTTACCAATACGTAAGTCTCCGTTGCTATGGACAATATCCGTTGTCAGAGCCTATAAAAAAAATCAAATTATTATCTAACGAATTAATATGTATTTGTGAGAATTATTTATACACATATATATAAATATATATAAAAAATATATATATATAAATATATTTATATATATAAAT